CTGCGCCACCGGCGGAGGTGCTGGGAGGCGGCCGCTGCTCCCTAACTTGTGGGCCCTGCCTCGCCCAACTTCTCCATCTCCCACCCGACCCGGAAAGCCACCCCCACTCCTCACCCTTCCTGAAGTCCGGGAAGGAACCGCCCCGCCCACCTCTCGGACGGACAGACGGACTTGGGAGGCTGCGAGGCTGCGAGGCCGGGCGCAGCGGCGGCACAGGGACCGGGTTTAAAGGCCTCAGTCCCGCCCAGCGTGAGGTCACCAGCCCTTCCCAGAGCGACTGGCTAATGAGAGCCTCGCCAGCCTCCTGCCCCCGACAGGGACCGCCTGCTCCGCCTCCGGGACGGCAGGTCTGGATGCCTCCCGCGCACCGACCGCCCCTCCCTGCTCCCCCTCCGCCCGGAGGCTCCCACTGAGCCGCCCCTCCTCACCTCGTCCACACACACGGGCTGCGGGGACTCCACGTTCAAGAACAGAGCTGTTGTATACGCGATCCCTGTGTACACATCACACTGGAATGTGAGCAATTTACCTCCTCCTCTAGAGCCGGCTTATAGTTCAAACCTCTACTGAATTTTTTTTTAAAATATATTTTATTGATTTTTTTGCAGAGAGGAAGGGAGAGGGATAGTTAGAAACATCGATGAGAGAGAAACATCGATCAGCTGCCTCCTGCACACACCCTACTGGGGATGTGCCCGCAACCAAGGCACATGCCCTTGACCGGAATCGAACCCGGGACCCTTGAGTCCGCAGGCCGACGCTCCATCCACTGAGCAAAACCGGCCAGGGCCCTCTATTGAATTTTAAAGATATTAGAAGACAAGGGTCTAGCAGAGGGAAAGTACTTTTAACTATTGGGTCTTAAGTCACCAGATATACCCCCAACCTGGCACACAGTAGGCACCCCATGAATGAATGAATGAATGAATGAATGAAATGAATGACCAAACACAGGTCCTTTCTCACACTGGGCTGTGACTCCACAAGAATAGAACCAGCTCCTGTCCATCTCCACGTTACCACCATCACCCCCCACCCCCAGCCTTGGAATCAGGATGCCTGGGCCACACCCTGGCCCTGTCACTTGCTAGCTATAGGATCCAGGCACCCTTCCCTCTCTGAGCCTCAGTTTGTTCATCTGTAAAATGGGGTGATGACGATCCTGTTCAACATGTAAGATAATATATAAAACTACATTCCCCAGAGGGAGAGCAACAAATGGAATGATGCTTATAAAGTGCCGGGCACGTGGCAAATCATGTTATTAGCATGAGGTAAGGTATATGCTCATCAGCTTTACACGTTATTCACCAGCTTCCGGGCAGGGAGAGTCAGAGGCAACGTAAGTAAATACCAGAGCTTCCTGCGCGTTACCACTCACCCAACTCAGCGCTGTGCACGTGGAGCCAGTGAGCAGCTGGAAGGCAGTCCAGACCCAGGAAGCAGAGGTTCGGCTGGGAGGAAACCAGACTGCTTTCTGCCTCTCCTTACTCTCTGCTTCCAGAGTTGCTCAAACGTCACATCCCTTTTTTTTTTTCCTGTCCTATTCCTGTGCCAAGAAAAACAAAACGAAAAACATCGGAGGGGCAGGGACGTCAGGGTTCTATACTGTTACTTTCCAAGCAGCTCTCCAAGGGGGAGCTCTGTAAGGAAGGCCCCAGGCGATGCCAGCACTGCCAGCAGGACCATCCTCAACCCCATTCCGCACGGTGAGCACCAAACAGGGGGCCACCGCCAGGATCCAGCTGTCACCCGCCTCCGGGCTTCTCTGCGATGGGCCCTGTGGCAGAAGCAAGTGTTACTTCTTAATTATTTGCAATCTCTCCCCATTGTCTGCCTTCTGAGGAGGAGGAAGGCTCCTCCAAGATTGTTTTTGCTGAGTCTCCGAGGAAGGAATAGCTGAGAAGTAGGAGAAAATGGCACAAGGCTGAATAGTGTGTGGGGATTCTTTTTTTTTTTTCACTTGTGAGCATTTAATGAACTTCCGTCCATGTGGCTTCAAGCTACCAGCACCCTGTCCCCCCTCCCCCACAACACCCTGACTTCTCCTCAGTCTTCTGCTGACGAACTTGGCCTTCACCCGTGTGGGGATTCTTTTTGTTGTTGTTGTTGTTCACTTGTGAGCACTTAATGAACTTACGTCCATGTGGCTTCAAGCTACCAGCACCCTGCCCCCCCCACCCCACCCCCGCAACTCCCTGGCTTCTCCTCAGTCTTCTGCTGACGAACTTGGCCTTCACCATGACAGGCTGCTTGGGGAGACATCCCTTCCCCAGACTCCGTAGTAGCCCGACTGCACGTCAGTGATGGGAGCGGCTACCGTCTTGTCTTTGGCAGCATTACCTGTCTGCTCACTGACCGAGGTCCACAGGTGACCAAGGCTGACAGTGGGGAAGAAGTCTGGGTCCCCTTAAGTGGCCATGCCTCACACCAACTTCCCCCAAGGAACCTGGGCGGTATTTGTCGGAGCTGATCTTGTGACGATGCAAGTCACCAGCATTACCTCGGCCCCCGGGTGCTCGCCGACGTGGCCAGGGCCGTGGCTCATGTGGCCCTGAAGTTTCCGGGTCTTCCTTAGTCTGGCGGGCATGCCATGGCCGAGATGTCCCGTGTGGGGATTCTGAGCAGGTAGGTAGGAGTGGAAGCGAGGCCAGGGCTGAGGAAAGGGGGTGGGGTGCGGGGCAGGCAACAGCATTTACGGGAAGCTGTTTGCGATGCTTCTGTACACACAGGAGCAGAAGCATGGGATCGTTTTGTGGTAACATGAGGGTTTGTGTTGCTAACAGCAACTCTCAAAATGGGAGCTCCTCGGGAAGGTGCTCCAGCAGCAGCCTGTACAGCTCTCTACACCCACACAGGCTACTCGGCTACGGCTCTGAGAATACACCAATTTTGACAGTTTGCTCTGAACAGAAAAATCGGGCTTTTCCAAAGAAAAGGAAGATGAAATATAACTTCCTCCTGAACCCTCCCCTGCAGCTCTGAAACCCCTCAAGTCCTACTGAGGCGACGACGAATCCCTATGAGACCCTGAAGAGCTTCCACTGCATTGAGTGGAAGCCTAACCACCTCTACTGCCCCTTGAAGGAACACCCTGAAATGTCCCAGGCTCCCATTCCACTATGGTCAATGGCCAGGCCGGGGACCTGGGGGCTGTTGTGGACACTCGTTTTTGTCTGCCCAGCAGTCTTTCATTTGGTGACTGTGGGGTTCTGGTGGGGCTGCCTGTCCCAGTTCCCCATCACCCCAACTAGAGAACATGTGACCTCGGTCTGGCTGGTTGTTGTGCCACAGCCCCCAGACCAGGGATTGGCCCTGGAAGGAGCATATGCCCCAAGCCAGACCCATCAGCAGCTTTCTCTAGGATGGAGCTATATATACACACATTTTTAAATAGGCAGTGGCTCAAAAAAAAAGTCTCTTTCCTCCAGGGATATGAAAGGGGGATGATGTAAGCCGGGAACCATTCATGCCTGCCCTCCCCTGCAGCCGGAAGGACACCCTTCTACGAGAGCAGATAACCTGGCCACTGCAGACGAGGAAATAGCCTGGTGGCATTTGAATTCTTCCAGTGCCTGATGTCAGTTTTACTCCTTAGACAGCCCGTTTTTACAGTTACCATTCCTTTTTTATTTTTATTAGGGTTGTCTTATTGTTTTACTATTTAAAAATATTTTAATTATATCGCTTCTCGGCCTTTTGGCTAAGATCAAGTGTAGTATATGTTCTTATCAGTTTAATAAAAATATTTTAATTACAATTGACATATAGTATTATATTATTTTCAGGTGTACAACATAGTGATTAGATATTTACATAACTTACGAAGTGATCTAGTTAGATCTATCTAACCCTGATAGCTCTAGTACTCATCTGACACCAGGCATAGTATTACAATATTATTCACCATATTCCCTATGCTGTACTTCACATCCCAGCCTACCATCTCTTTTTTAAAAATCTAATAAAGTTGGACTGATCTTTGGCAAACTGATATATGCTCATCAAAGGCAAGAATGCCAGTGTGCCCAAAACAAGCCCATTGGCTTGACTCCGCCCCACCCACACATGGCCACTTCCCCCAGCTTGGCCTTCCTTCTCCCAGCTTACAGTGAGGCAAGCATCAACACTCTGATGGCAGCGCCCAAGTTTCCACCATGTTCTTCAAATCATACCAACTTGTGGGTTTGCCCCTTCCTACTAATCTGTGATGAGCTCAGTGTAGCCCCGAGCCTCACGCCTGACAGATGACCATCACTAGGGGTGGAGGGATGGATGGATGGATGGAGGCTACTGACCCGACCCAGTGTTTCAAACTAGGGAAACCGTTTTTACTGCAAAGCTAAGTAGAGCATATCTACTTAGTCAAGATATGAGAGGGTCACTGCAGCTCCCCACTGCTTCCAAGGTGGCCGATGAAAGGGAAAGCTTTCAGTAGAACTTGACTTCACCCCACCCCAAAGAGGAATGGATGGATGGATAGATGGAGGCTACTGACCCGACCCAGTGTTTCAAACTAGGGAAACCGTTTTTACTGCAAAGCTAAGTAGAGCATATCTACTTAGTCAAGATATGAGAGGGTCACTGCAGCTCCCCACTGCTTCCAAGGTGGCCGATGAAAGGGAAAGCTTTCAGTAGAACTTGACTTCACCCCACCCCAAAGAGGAACCATTTAACCAGGTGGGTCCAGATGGGACAGCCACATGGAAGTGCCACAAATTCAAGGGTCGTCATCAGTCCGTGTTACTATAAATAAAACTTGTATTGGATTATAAGCAACACCACCAACAGCACAGCCTTCTCCAGCACCATGCCAGTAAGATACTGTTTTGTAGGACAGAGAAAGCTGACTCACTCAAACCTCATTATCACTACATTTGACACCAAGTTACTCATCCTCTTAAATATCCTATTCACTTTGCCAAGCCCAAACCTGTTTCACAGATCTTCCCACATTAAAGAGAGAAAACACAGAGACAACATGAGGCTGTGATCTTTATTCCATTAAATGACCTTACAGAAACAGAAACATGCTTTTAATACACTAATAGCATCATCTCATCCTATTGCACTTTTTTAAAGTATATTAAATTTTAAAGCCATTTTTAAAGGGTATAAGAGAAAAGTACTTTCAACAAATCATTTAAAAGAAATCTGAGAAGGAAAATTGTATATGTTCAAGATTAACATCCACTCCTTTAAGGCTTTAGTCTATGACAGCATTTTTTCATCTAAATTGGAAAGTTTTGGGAGTCAAAGTCCACCTTCCCTTGGTCACAAGAACACCACATTTAAATTTGTTCTGGCAAACAAAATTCTTCCCAAGAAATATTTTTAATCTTTCTGCTCCTAGATTTTGAAAAGTTCCTAATATGGGTTACTTTTGTTGCTAATTTTCAAAGTTATGGTCATCTCCTGTCTTTTTGTTCATTACTTTTATTTATGGTTTAAGGTTTTCTGTGTATGAGTTAGGGGTTCAAGTTACAGTGCTGAATTTTGCTTTTTAAAAGAAATACAACTTTTACCCTGGCCAGGTGGCTCAGTTAATTGGAGCGTCTCCTGTACATCAAAAGGTTGCTGGTTTGATCCCTGATCAGGATGTATACAGGAGGCAATCAATCGATGTTTCTCTCTCTCTAAAAATCAACGGAAACATATTCTTGGGTGAGGATTAAAAAAAAGAAACACAATTTTCAAAAGTTTCTTTTTAATCCTAATTACACCTGCTACCAAATAGGACACTTGTATAACTTGTACATTCATTGTTCAGAGAAGGCACTGTGACATCCTCATTTTGAGAAACAGCTTCAAGGAGCTGAGATAATCCTCCCAATTACAGGCACCCTGACTGTTCTGAACACTGTGCACTCTCAGTGACTGCACCTGGCAGGCCACCTCATCTGAACTGCAAGGAAAAGCCACCACTTGCCGCCAGGCCATCCTGAACTGCACTTTCCCACCATGCAGTGCAGTCTCTCACTGCTGTCTCTGAGGCACCTGCACTACTGTTACAAAAGCAGTGATTCTGGGGCCACAGACCACACCAACTGAGGCAACCCCTGGGGTAGAAAGCTGGTAATTTAAACTTTTTAAACAAGAATTCCAGGTAAGTCTTATGTACTCCAAGATAGGTAAGAACCAATACTCAAAACATAGCTACAGTATGATTTAACAAGGAAAACTATCCAATTGCAAATGGTCTTTTACAATGGGGTAAAAAAAAAAAAAAAGTTCCATGAAGCCCCGACAGAGTGACTCAATGGGTTGGAGTGTCGTCCAGCACACCAAGAAGGTTTCAGGTTCAATTCCTGGTCAGGGCACATACCCAGGTTGTAGGCTATATCCCCGGTCAGGGCCCATATGGGAGGTAACCGATCAATGTTTCTCTCACTCTCTCCCCACCTTCTCTCTCTCTAAAAAAATCAATAAACATATACTCAGGTGAAGATTAAAAAGAAAAAAGGTCCATGATGACTTCCATGTAAACTATTTTTTAAAAAAACCTCTAGGAAAAATATAAAGCATTTTTACATCAATTTACTCGACTCTTCTGTAATTCACACATGCATACCCTATCTGAGACACACCCATGAGCACGGTGGGTACGATGCTAAAGAAACACACTGCCAGCACAAAGCAGTTTGTTTGCCTAAAGCATTTAACTTCATGTAAGAGAAAAAAGAAAAATAACAGGTAAAACAAAACCAACATTCCCAAGCGACTTTACCAAGTGTTATTACATAGCCCTCCATGGAACAGATTTCTCAGGGCACTGCTAATATGGAATGAGTATGAAGATGTTTCATTATCACACATAACAACATGACAGTTTGCCCTCAGTCTGTCTACAAAGCAATCTAGAAAGACTTCCCCATGAAAGAATCAAAACTTTTATTCTATTATTTTTACTCTAAGCTTACTGGAAGTATCAAAAAACAACAAAAAAAGCCTTAACATTTAACTTCTCCTGAAATGAGTTATTTTAAGAGAAAAATTTGAAAACCTCCTTTTATGTTAATAAGAGCGCCCATATACTGTTAGGAATGTGTAAATAAACAATGCTGTGTGGAAAGGCCAGCCAGGAGTGGCAGAGCAACAAACACTAAGCAAACAATCTGAACTCCTAATGTCCCTGACCCACTAATTAAAGGCTGAGGGAAGTTACGAGGTAAAAGACATTCTTTTCAGCCTGGTTATCAATCTCCCCAAGACTATGTAGGCCAGCAATGAGAATGCATCTTTTATTGAAAAAGGTGATATAAAGTCATCAGTTCACTGTTAAAAGAGAAGAGAGGCCAAAGAAAACTCATAAGAATCCTCACTGAGAAAACTTTATAAACACTTTTCAGAGGCAGAATATGTTAACTAATAAAGACCCAAAAAACAAAGTTTCCCCATAGGTAATTGAACCAAGTTATTCCTTTAAGATCAAAACAAAAAATGGTGAATTTAAACAGTAAATCAATCCTAAGATTTCATTAAATCATACATTATCATGTTTATTTTTTAAAATCTAATACTTTAGAATTAAAGTACCTTTTAGACACATCTTCCTTTTCTCACCACTAAAAGGAGTAGGACCAATCTAGACAATTATTCTGAAATCTATAAATATGCTTATAAAATGCAGTAAGGCTTTTTTTTTTTTTTAGCAAAAAGTAAAACATGTAAATAGTAGGTTTATTAAACCCAATATCAGTAATTTAGTTCTAGCGAAACATCATCCATCACATTGATGTTTTCAATCTGAACTATAGTGATTCTGTAGGTTTGTTTTTAGTTAATATCTGTAAGGCCTTTCGCTGAGAAGTATGAGCCTGCAGGAAGATGAGAGGCCCCCTGAAAATGCACTAACTTTTCAAAGCTAAGCTTTCAATTTAACATTCAAAACTAAGCATCACTGATAAGCAAGGAAACAGTTTTTAGAACAACCTGGAATTTTTCTAAATCTAACAGCAAGTGAATAAAATAGCAAGAACTTCAGGGCAAGATGGTATGTAAATACGAAAAAAATATAAAATGCTTGGAATTAATTCAGGCCTTATAAAAATACTTAAATGGTTAAGTGTTAAAGTAGTCAAAAAAAAATCTTTAATAGATTATATGCCAGAAGAAACTTTGTTTTCCCACCTTTCACTCATACTTCATATATATAGAATTTTCCCAGATTTTGCCTAAGCCTTCCTTACCACCCTCCCACAAAAATAAAATTATCTTAAGAATTAAGGCTCACATACCTGAATGTTTATATAAATATTTGCAGGCAAATTTTAAGTTTAAAATCCGTAATAATTCACCATTATAAGCCAAAGAAAAAGGCAACTAAAGATAAAAAATTTTATCACACAATCAAGGTAAATAAAGAAGAATTATTAGATATTTCTGGATATTGTCCATATGTGGATGGGGCTTTGGTCCTTACTAAGCCAAAGCTATTTTAAAGCTACCAGACAGGTCAAGTAAAGTTAAATAAAGGAAAAATCACTAAATAAAACTGACAGTTTTAGCTCCATTACTAAATATATTAAACAGTGCATAGGAAATAAGACCTGATTTACTGCTAAGCCATGTGCAAGAGGACATCACTTAAAGGCCATAATGTTTGATACAGTCTTTCCTCTAATTAATAATAAAGTTTTGTTCTTATGTGGAACTTTCAAAAACAAAACTTCTCAAATGACAACTGTGTGAGGGTAGTGTATAATACATATACCAATGTAATAAAGCCCTAATATGCAATTGAGCAAACGGCGGAACGACCGACACGCACTGACCACCTGGGGGCAAACACCCACGCAGGAGCTGCCCCCTAGTGGTCAGTACGCTCCCACAGGGGGAGTGCCACTTAGCCAGAAGCCAGGCTCACGACTGGTGAGCACAGCATCACAGCGTTGGTGGCGGGAGCCTCTCCGGCCTCCGCTGCAGGCGGGATGGTAAGGAGCAAGGGTTCCCAGACTGCAAGAGGGCGCAGGCTGGGCTGAGGGACACACACCCCCCCCCAGTGCACAAATTTCATGCACCAGGCCTCTAGTACCAATATAAACCTACAAACAGTGAGTCTGGCCAAGGCACAAGTTCAAGTGACTTATCAGAGGTCACATGGTTCATTTAAACTCTAGCTCTTTTCTTAAATTATCAAGTTCATTCCTTTTATTATGAGCCTCTGGCTTTTCAAGGCATGTTTGCTCTTTTCTAGAAAGAAGGTATAGGAATAAAGGCAAAAGAAAAAAATATGTTCCAACAAAACTGACAGCCTGTCAGGTAAAAGACCTTACATTTCAGTGAATAGATTTAAACATGATAGTAGTTTTCCACACTGTGTGGCAGACCGGATTCTCTAATATTATAAGACTTTATGTAATGGCATCATTTCAGTCTTTAGTTCTAAAGCTTTTGCCAGTTTTGTAAACTTTTTAAAAAGGAATCCTTCTCAATAGAGGAAGGTATAGAAGAACTGACAGGTTTCACCCCAAACAGACTCTTTCCTGAGGCTTCCTCGGTCCCTCCCTATCATGCCTGCAAAAGCACGAATTCAGTTTTTAAAGGCACTAAGTGGCGCATAAAGGACTTAAAACTGCATTTCCATTTTCTCCTTTAGCTTTCCCCCCATAAAGTGCACAAAGCAGAGAGTAATAAAAAACAGACGCAAGCTTGGATCTATATCATAAGCAAGGAAAAGAAACGCTTCCCACAGAAATGGAAGTGTGTTTAAGAGTTTGAAACCACAGGAAAGGTCTATTCCTTTATTGGTGCCATGTTTCAGCTCTTCCTGGGTGGTCCCAAAGCTACATTCCTCTGGACCTGTACCTGTGGCTACAGCAGAAATGCAGAAATCAGAAGGGGCTGGTTGGGTTCTTGTTGGATCCTCTTGTTAAGATGCTATTGAGCTTTTTTATCCATAGGTTGTCTCCCAACAATTGCATCCCTCACAGCAGCCTGAGTGGAATTACCAATGTGAGAAGAAGCCTGCAAAAGTCCACGAGGCAACATGTAAGTTAAGGAAATACAGCCCAGCATCAAGAGAATACGTCCTTGGAGATCAACTTTCAAAAATTTCTGTCTACATCATCAGTATGTTACAGAAAACAGGGGAATGAAAATGTGGGGGAGGGGAGCCTGTGACAGCAGCTACCTCCCAGGAGAGTTAGCTGACCCTTTGCTTTGTTATTGTGTTATTAGAGGCTTGCCAAATGCTTATTCCTTTAGTAGAAAAAATATTTTCACTCAGGAAGCTAGAGTTTGGGATTGACATTGTAAAAATAATTTGTTTCCCTTCACAAGCCTCTAACTGAACTGATCTGTTCAAGCAACTCAGAAAAAGAAACCAGAGTCTCGAGGATCTATAAACCTAGAGATCATGTCAATGTCAAAAGCCACTGGCTTTTGGAAGATTTTAAGGGGGAAAAATGCCATCCTTAATAAGATTTAAAACAAAAAAATTTGTTAAGTTCATATTTTTCAAAGCTCTTGATTTCTAATAAAGCAAATTAATCTTGGATGAGGGAAAGAATCACACAAGAATTGTGTCTGACAAACATATAGTTAAAAGTTTCCCGCAAGGAACACAATTGTGTCTAAGCTGAAAAACTTTTTGCATTGAAGGGTAATCATTGGGCATGAAAACAAAATATCAAAATTAAACATTAATATCCTAAAAAAGGATAATAAACATAATGCTCATCAGAAAAAAATAGTTAAGGAAATTTTCTCATGCCTTCTCTCACGAGGAAGCTCTGCCAAGTGGAGATACTTTATAAAAGAAACACAATATCTGTCCATTGTCAACCCTCCCACTCCCAGCGGGCAGCACTTACCTGCTCTAGTACATATGCTGCTCCAGAATCGATAGCTCCGCCCAGCTCACGATACTGACCAGAGTACCTGATGTACCCCCAAGTGAGAAGCGCTATTAACAGCAGTCCAACTATACAGTTGAACAGCTGGGCCACAACCTCCAGACCAATGAAGCCAGTGAGGCCCGAGGCTATGTACAAAGCCACGATGCCCGTGAAGAGCACCGCGGGGGTTCGGAAAGTGCTGAAGATGTTCTTGCTACCGTTGTGCTTGCAGAAGTTCTCATAGAGTTCTTTGATTTCCTCCTCCAGCTCCTGCTGGTAGCGAAGGCTAAAATCCTTCCCACCCATCTTCTTGGTCTTCTTAAAATGGTCCAGAGCAAGTTGTCTGAATTCACAGTGCTTCTCCTCTAGAATGTCTGGAGACAAATAAGGTTTCTCTCCCCCACACACCTAAAAAATAAAGAAAAAGACGCAATGTGTTGAAGATCCCTTTAAAAACAAGTGACAAATAAAATTTATAAAGTGAAAACGCTGAAAAGCTTAGGCTATTTTGGTATTAGAAATTAACTGTAAATGATGACCAAGGCCAGCAGAGCTCAGGTGGCTGCCTCCGAGAGAACACTTAAGTTCCGGGGCCATGGTGCTCGGTGAGAGCAGTGACACAGCAGGAGCCTTGGCTAGAACCCTGACAGCAGGCCCTCATTCCCAGGTGGCCTGGGTACAGCTGTGTTCCCTCGGTATCTTAAGACAGTAAAAAGGATCAAGTTTGGGCTTTTAAAGTCAGCAACCATGTCCAGGTTATAGATATTTCAGAATAAGACATACGCCCAACATACCTCTTCCATGTTGTTGTAATAAATGTCCTTGGCAGAGGCCGCAGCTGCTAAATTGTTGGCTTCAGCAGTGGCCTTTGAAGAAAGGAAAGCAAAAGCTGTAAGTCCTTCCTCTTTTAATATTCTTCGACAAATAACCACGTAAAATTTTTCTCACACCTTATTCACCATTCTTTCCTTCTTATTATGCTTCTGCTATATTTTAGGTTTCCATATAGCCCAGTTTATTAAATAAAATACATCTTTTCTGCCAAAAATGTTCCCACACATAAGAACCTTTATCATAAATTGAACCTCTCCAAAATCATTTCCTTTGCTTCAATTTTTACTTATTGATTTGAGAGAGAGAGAAAGGAAGAGGGTGTGTGAAAAACATCAATGTGTTGTTCCACTTATTTATGCATTCACTGGTTAATTCTTGTATGTGCCCTGATGGGAGATTGAACCCAAAACCTTGGTGTATCAGAACGATGCTCTAACTAACTGAGCTACCTAGCCAGGGCCCTTGGCTTTAATTTTAAATGTTACAAAACAGATATAAGTCAAAAAAGAAGGGAAACAGCCCAGCCAGCGTGGCTCAGTGGTTGAGTGTCGACCTATGAACCTGGAGGTCATGGTCTGATTCCTAGTCAGGGCATATGCCCAGGTTGCTGGCTCAATTCCTAGTGGGGGGGAAAAGAGGGGCAGTCAATCAATGATTCTCTCTCATCATTGATCTCTCTCTCTCTGTCTCTCTCTCTCTCTCAGCTCGCTCTCTCTCTCTCTCTCCCTTCCTCTCAGAAATTGGTAAAAATATATTTATTTTTTTAAAAAAGAAGGGAGAGCCCTAACTGGTTTGGCTCAGTGGATAGAGCGTCGGCCTGCGGACTGAAGGGTCCCAGGTTCGATTCTGGTCAAGGGCATGTACCTTGGTTGCGGGCACATACCCAGTAGGGAGTGTGCAGGAGGCAGCTGATCGATGTTTCTCTCTCATCGATGTTTCTAACTCTCTATCTCTCTCCCTTCCTCTCTGTAAAAAATCAATAAAAATATATTTTAAAAAAAAAAGAAGAAGAAGGGAGACAAATTATCTTTACAATGTCAATCCCAAACTCTAAATTCCTGTGTGAAAAGATTTTTTCTACTAAAGGAATAAACATTTGGCAATAAATGGCCTTATGTTCAGTACATGAAAATCAGAATCATGTTTTAACAAAACAACACTTTGAAAATACCAAAATGTTAAAAATAAAACTCATTGGAAATTAAATGCTGACTCATCAGTAAGTAGACACATTAGGACATGCTCTAGTAAAGCAGACAGCAGGAAACAGGAAAATGGCCTGTCCACACAGCTGGGGATGTCTCCCTGGGGATAGCAAGACAGGGGTGTCACAGTATGTTTGGTGGGAAGACCAGGCCCAGTGAGAGGCCGTGCTGTTTAAGCTGAACCACCAAGAACACAGATAAGAAAACCAGAAGGCGACCACACTGCTGGAATGTGCTGGAAATTAAGAGCTCAGCATAATGGGAAAGGAGAGCAACAGCACCGTCTTCTTAAAGGACTCTGCTTACGGATCCGGATCAACTCCCGAAATCGAAGCTATCACTTAGGCTGTCCAACAACTGCGTACCTGAAGCATGGATTTGGGGTGAGGCAGATCTTCTCCTTGGTAAATTTTAATATATGCCTGAAAATATAAACATAAAAATAATTACCAAAAATGTCCTTCTGTCATAATTAATCATACTTGTAATTGTAGGAACAGTAACCAAACAACTTAATTTTCCTAAAGACCTAGATCGACACCCAGGAATTAGCAAAAACACAACACACCTTGTGCATGTTAGCATTTTTAGTTCACTGAAAATGGTCTCAAGCAGCAGAAGCCTACCAAGGCTAAGATTCCCGCCAGACTCCCCACGCACACTGGCCTCACCACTACCTGTGGGCAGAGTGACCATCCGCCTTGAGGTAGTCATGTCACATTTAGGTGCCGTCTCCCACTCACAGCAACATCCTAACCACCTCCTGTCCACACCATCTTCCTTGAGGAACAATCTTCCTTTAGCCACAGTCATCACTCTAAGAGAGTGCAAAGAACATCCATTTGGTTCTTAGACCGATACTGCCACCCAGTGGCCCATTCCTGGAAGGACACTGAAGTCTGAAAATGCCTCTCATCATTTCTCCCATGAAACTTTTCCCTAAGCTTTAAAATACTGAAATTCAAATTAGTTTAAACCTAGACCAGTTTTACCAAAAGCCCAACATTTTAATAATTAAAGCCCATAATTACCTTAAAATACTCCAATAGCCCCCGACAGGTGACTTTTGAGCCATTGATCTCCTTTTCCATTAAGTTCGCTGGGTTTAATATATACGGAATCAGTATCTGTAACTGCTCTTTGAATTCACTGGCAATATCTGTTCACAGGACCATGAAGAAGGAAACAATAAGCCAAACAGACTTCAACCAAGGTAAGCACAGAACACAATCTTCAGGGCAGTCTAAATGTCTTAACATATGTTAGTCAAAGTGGAGGGCAGGGTCCCAGGGCAGGTGTCAGACATTTTCGGCTCTGACCAGAACAGCAGTCTGTTCTTATGTGCCTTGGTTGTCCCCTTGCCTTCTGCAGTATGAAGACCTCCCTAATCGAGAAGAGAATATGCAGAATATCCTTACCCTGGTTTTCATTCTGGGAGGTTCAGGTCTACTTCCTAGCATTTCAAGAAATTTCACTTTTTTAAATCCTCACCAGAGGATACTTTTCCATTGATTTTTTTAAAGAGAGAGTGAAAGGGAGGGAGGAGGGGGAGAGAGAAACATTGATGTGAGAGACACACTGACTGGTTGCCTCCCACATGCGCCCTGACCTGAGCCTGGGATCAGGTCTGCAACCGAGATACATGCCCTTGACTGGAAATCAAACCCGAGCCTCTTTGGCCTGAGGGCCGATGTTCTAACCACTGAGCAACTGGCCAGGGCAAGAAATTTCACTTTTTTAAGAGTTTCATTAACCAGGTCTTCAAAAGATCAATTATCAACCCCTCAAGTTCTCAGACCAGGCCCTTGCTACATCCTCATGCTCCCCTTACTTTTTTAGAAATCACTATTCACCCACTTGTTTGTTTTTGTTCATTTTTTCCTGGTAAAAGGAGTACAAGCACCTGTACTTCATGATATTTATTTTCTAGCGCCTCCTTAGAGAGGCGCTCTGGGCCGCCCGAGGGAAAGCCTACTGTCTCGGAAAGTGACAGCTTCTCTGCAGTTTCTACAAAGTTCCCACAGAGGACTCGGGAGAGCCATTAAACAGAACTCTTTCCTCAAGGTGAGAACTAGCTGGTCCAACTATGAAGACACAGGAATCTGATTTCTATAATCTAACATCTTCCTGGGTTTCCAACTAACTCAGACTATCAACTGATAGTTATCACATCAAGGTAAGAACTCTTCAACACTCCATAACCCTAATTTGTAAAATTGAAGTGTTCTTATTTCATTTATTGATTCAACAGTTTTTGAGCACCTTTTTGTGGCCGGTATTGTTGCAAGAGTTGGGGACAGAGCAGTGAATAAACAAAAGTGGTTTAGAAATTTTTCCAAATTACAAATATCACTATAAAAATCTCTATAAAGCCCTAGCCGGTGTGGCTCAGTGGATGGAGCATTGGCCTGCACTGAAGGGTCCCAAGTTTGATTCCAATCAGGGTACAGGCCCAGTTTCAGGCTCAATCCCCATAGGGGGCATGCAAGAGGCAGCCAATCAATGTTTCCTTCTCACATTGAAGTTTCGCTCTCACAATGATGTTTCTCTCTATCCCTCTTCCTTCCTCTCTCTCAAAATCACCCAGTTAATCAATCAATAATAAAAGAATTCCACTGAACAACTTCCCTACCGGTGAGGAACAAAACCAGAGTTAGGTTTGGTAAAGGTATGTCTAATAATGGAGTGTTATAACCCTAAAAGACACATCACCTACACACTCAACTTTCTTTCCATACTCAACTCTGAAAAGTCAATCACAACTGCTTTTTTTGGTTAAAAACAAAAAAATTCTAGTTCCAGTGTCGCCTAAGCAGATTTCTCTCCAAAGCCAGGCCACAAACTCGGACTTCTTTTTTTTTTTTTTTTTTTTAATATATTTTATTGATTTTTTACAGAGAGGAAGGGAGAGGGAGAGTTAGAAACATCGATCAGCTGCCTCCTGCACGCCCCCTACTGGGGATGTGCCCACAACCAAGGTACATGCCCTTGACTGGAATCGAACCTGGGACCCTTCAGTCCGCAGGCCGACGCTCTATCCACTGAGCAAACCGGTCAGGGCAAACTCGGGAGACTGAGATGCCATCTAAAGGCTCCGGAAGTCTGCTCAGGAAGCTGCCACTACATAACAACATCATACAGGTGGCGAATAGAAGGTGAAGGTAAGTCTCTCAAACTCAGTTTCTTTTGTAACATTACAACCAGCTGGAACATAAATCTTAAGCAAGTACATTAACTTTCTTGCATCGAATGAGTCAAGTTCTCTTGGTAACTAAGCAGTACATGTCACCTAAATTGCTTCCCCATGTAACGGAAGTCGTTTCTGCTTCAGCACAGTATGGATTTGGGTTAAGAAGAATCAGGATGTGAACCTCTGTCTCACCACTTAGCTGTGTACACTGAACAAGTTACTTAACTTTCCTAAACCAGTGTCTTCATCTGTACAATAAAGAAAATATTATCAGTTTCATGGAATTACTGAAAGCATTAAGTGCGAAAGTAACTAGTATCGTGTTGGTGCTATGGTCTGAATGTTTTGTTCCCCCTCCCCTTGTTGAAATCATATGTTGAAATCCTAACCCCTAAAGGTGATGGTATTAGGAGGTGGGGCCTTTGAGAGGTGAGGAGGTCATGAGGGTGGAGCCCTCATGTATGGGATTAGTGCCCTTATAAAAGAGATCCCCCAGAGCTCGCCAGCCCCTCCCAACATATGAATATACAACCAGAGACCAGGAAGATAACCCTTTACACACCATGCTGGCACACTGATCTTGGGCTTCCAGCCTCCAGAATGACAGGAAATACATTTCTGTTGTTCATAAGCTACCGAGTCTATGGTATTTTGTTACAGCAGCCCAATCAGACTAAGACAGTTGGGAACATGACTGGACATCTAAAATTGGCGACTACTATTATTTCTACTTTACTGGGAACCTAAGAAGCTCAGATAAGTTTATAAACAGAAGTGCTTAGTTTAACACATGGGGAAACTGATGTCTAGCCATTAAATGACTCAAGGTCTCAAAGAACAAAAATAAGATAATGGAACCCATGAGTCCCAACTCTGATTTCTCTAAGCTACTATTTAGTCAGCACTTCCTGATATTAACAAATGACTCAGCATCAGGTTTTTTTTATAATCACAAATAAAATGAAAACAATAGCCATGCCACACATTATGTTATTTTTCTTTGGGAAGTTAATTTTACTTGATAAACATTAGCTAATGTTTAGTCTCCTTTTACTTAGCATTTTCATCTTTTATAAACCAATAATCATAACATGTCTCTTAGAAAGATTATTAATGGATATTGCCAACACCATTTCAGATGGAGAAATTAAGATGAGCTAATTCTAATTCTGATGGTCACAGTAAGGCAAGAGCAAAAACTGACCCAGACTCCAAATACTATTCTTTCTTGGAGAACATACTATTTCTCTTAAGCATTCATCAGATTCTTTCTTTCTTTTTTAATATTTGTATTGATTTCAGAGAGGAAGGGAGAGGGAGAGAGATAGAAACATCAATGATGAGAGAGAATCATTGACTGGCTGCCTCCTGCACACCCTCTTTGCCCCCTGGAGATTGAGCCCGAAACCCTGGCATGTGCCCTTGACCAGAATTGAACCTGAGACCCTTCAGCAGGCTGACGCTCTATCCAGTGAGCCAAACAGGCTAGGGCAACACCAGATCCTTATTTGACATTTTCTGGTCACTATTTAATTCCAAAGATCAAATCACATGTTTAAAATAACATCATTTGTAACACACCTTTCAATTTCCCATCAAACTCAGGGCTTGTGGCCACCTGGAGTCCTGGATGTGGCAGAAGAAAACAGGAGACGCTCGAGAAACATGAGTGAATGTGATTTCGGACATTCTGAATTTCTTCATGCTGATGTTCTTTCACCTGCCAATGAAGACCCACAATTTACAAAAGACCATTTGTTTCTCTTCCCAGGAACCACTGGTGTAAGACAAAGGAAAGAAGACTTCCCAACGCTGATGGGTGATAGTGGCCTATGTTTTTTCCAATAAGAAAACACAGAACCCTAAGAAGCAATAAATGCCCAGGTTGTGGGCTTGATCCCCAGTGTGGGGTGTACAGGAGGCAGCCTATCAATGATTCTCTCTCATCATTGATGTTTCTATTTCTCGCTCCCTCTCCCTTCCTCTCTTAGATCAATAAAAATATATTTTTTTAAAAAACACATGTAAGAATTTTGAACAAGAAAAACAGACTGAAGTTCTGAATGTGACACTCTAAAGACACATGTGGAACCTGACGTACAATGTGAAATGGAATTACAATCAAAACTGGGGCTTTTGCCCAGAGTTCTTCTCCACAATCCCTGTGCACTGTATACCCAGGTTCTTTAAAACATGAGTAATATTAGTGTGTGTTAACATGCATAAGTATTTAACAAACTTAATATAATTTTTTGTAATCTGCTTGAAATACAATAGCTAAGGTAAATGAGAAAGCTATCACTGCTTTTAGGTAATTCCCATATTATATTTCTACTTACCTGTAGACGCTTATCCAAAAATGACATTCCTCCCTGTAGTCCATAGCTGTATTCATAAGGGAAACTCCAGTCTCGAACCAAAAACATCAGTGTCTATTTAAGAAAAGAGCAGCACACATTATAATGTTGCATAAATGCATTTTCAAAATTACAATTTAAGTGCTCCTTTGCACAGTGCCAGCTTCTTCAAAGGAGACAAGAAACCGTGCTGAAGGATTGAGCTATTCTGTGATGTCTCTGAAACCTTATAAACAAGTATGCCAAAGGCAAGGATGGGGAGTGTAGTATGGCACTAGCTAGTCATACATCAGATCTACCTTCCACATTAGAATGGAAAGGAAAACAATACTTAACGCTCCTCTAATCTTACTCAGGTTACTATGCATTCCCGTCCTCATGAAATAATTAGCTAAAACAAAGGTCAGTAAATTTTTTCTGTAAATGGCCAGAGAGTAAATATTTTAGGCCACTGTAGCACAAGACAGCCATGAGCAATACAAATAAGTATAACTGTGTTCTAAATAAAACCTTATAGACACTGACATTAAAATTTCAGATGATTTACATGTCATAGAATAGTATTCCTCTTTTGATTTCTTTCAACCATTTAAAAATGTAAAAACCATTCCTAACTCATAGGTCACATAAAAACAGGCAGCTGGCCAGAACTGGCCTGTGAGCTGCAGTTTGCTGATCTCTGAACTAAAATAAAGATTTGAGTGGCATTTATAGTGAACATTCTACCTGGAAGGGTTTTTGGAAAATTTCATCCATTGCCAGACGACCATATTCTGTGAAGAGCTTAAAAAAGAAGAAGAAGAAGAAGAGTTATGGCTTGTAAGGCAAAATTAAAGTATTTCTGTGGCAATTTTTTTTTGGGGGGGTCCCTCAGAGTTCAGGAGAGGCAGGCATGTGGGGGATGAAGTGGGGGAAGGGAAAGGCGCAGACACCCTGGGAGGGAGGGGCCTTCTGTGGCTATTCTTTATCAAAGTATTCATTTAACAGACCTGACTCCTACTTATATGAAACCCAAGTTGTACAGTTTCAAAGCCCACAGGAGCCATGAACCTTAAAATAATCCAGGATGTCTTACATCCCAATTCATTAGCAAATCCAGAATCTAACCACTCACAAATTCCATGTAGCTTGGAATATTGCAATCGCTTCCTAATTTGTCTGCCTGCCCCTCCTCGTCACCATTCTCCATACAACAGCCACCATGGCTCTGTTATCAATAAGGTTAGTTAGATCACACCCTACCTCTGCTCAAAACCCTCAACCACATTCAGTATAAAAGGCCAGTTCTTATAATGTGATGCCACCATGCTGGCCCTCCTTGATGTTCCTCAAATGTGCTGGGCACACAGCTGCTTTAGGGTCTTTGTTCTGACTTCTCTTCCTACCTATAATGTTCTTCCCCTAAATAGCTGTGCAGCCGAACCGGTTTGGCTCAGTGGATAGAGCGTCGGCCTGCGGACTCCAGGGTCCCGGGGTCGGTTTCGG